ATAATCAGCAGGATTCACAAACCTGCATTCGTGACAGAGGGGTTCTCATCAACGTGTACAAATACCTGGAGGACAAGTGCAAAAAGGACAGAGCCAGGCTCTTTTGAGTGGAAGACAAGATGCAATAGGCACAAACTGAAACACAGGAGGCTCCATTTGAACGTGAGGAAACATTTCTTTACTCTGTGAAGGTGACTGAGCACTGGCACAGGTTGCCCAGAGAGGTGGTGGAGTCGCCTTCCTTGGACATAGTCAAAAGCTGACTGGACATGGTCCTGGGCACCCAGCTCTAGGCAGCCCTGCTGGAACAGGGGGGTTGGACCAGATAACCTCCAGAGGTCCCTTCCAAGCTCAGCCTTTCTGTGACTATGACATCACCAATATAGGAGGTAGGTGGGAGACAGTAAGCTAGCATACTTGAATATAAAATTAAGGCAGAAGAGCGAATCTACAAAATTTCAGCACCAGAGCTAGAGGAGGTGACCAAAACCCACAGAGCTGCTTGTTAAGTGTTCCAGCTAGATGGTATACACAAAAGAACTGCAGACACATTGTTAGCCCCTGCAAACCCACATTATAAAACACTGCTTTAACTTCTGTAACATTGCTTTGGCCTTGAATTTCAGAGTCTTCTCCCATTTTCTTGGATTGCAGCTCAAACCCATGCCCTTATAAAATGCACAGATAAAATGTCCTATGAGATAGGACAATGTGGTGATTAATCAGTTCCATAACTCAGGTGTCCAGGAACCCCTCTAATTAGCTGATCTTTCAAACTGCAGTAAATTCAAATTAATATTTTAAATGTATATTTAATGCAGTGGAGTTTTCTTTATTAAATTGCCAATTCATTTTAGAAGCCTTTGTTTGTAGAGCTTTGGGGTAAGTAGAAGAAAGGAAGTTTTCAGTCAAGGGGAATGCACAATTGGTCAAGGCGAATGCACTATTGGTCAAGGCTAGCACTGAATATCAGTATTCTATGGACTTGCTCCGTGCTTCAGTCCTATTAAACTCACCTGTCATATTCCTATGCAGTTCAGAAAATATTTTCCTGCTTTAATCTTCCATGGAATTAGGCTTCTAGACCTGTAGTCTACTATCTACTACCACACATCAGTGGCTTGTGAATACACTTGCCAACATGAGAATAGCTCCAGTCACTACAGACAGCCGTAAGGTACAGCTTAACTACTGAAGTCTAACTGCCAACCATTTATTCAATGTCTTATCCACCAAGAGGACACAGCTGCTAGTAAGACTGTTGCTGTGCAGCAAGTCCCTGAACCTTAGTAAGTTTTAATCTGCATCCACAGCCCTCTTCAAACTGTCTGGACCAACATTCCAGCTTGTACACAAAAGGTATTAAAGCAATTCTGCTACACGGTACCTAGGCTCCTGTATCTTTGATAAAAATGGTGAAATAATGTATGAGACTGAACAGACTATTCTTACAAGATAGACAGCTGAGTCTTACCAGAACAAGGCTAGAATACAGCCCCTGTGAATGCTGGGTGAGAATAGAGAGCCAAGGAAGCTGCAGAACAGACTTTCTGGATCAGTTTGTTTCAGATTCAACCACCTTGGCAGACAGAGCTCCAACCCAGTAGATGAGCAGAAGTAAGAGCAAGTCTTCTTTTCTCTTGCTCTCCACATCTCCAGTCCACCACCCTGGTGGGAAAAAGTGTCTGCAAGAGTCAGTAAGGACAAGGACACAGTCCAAACACACCCAAACAGCCTCTGTACAACAGGACTTTGCATATGAAGCCAGCATTGAATACATGGCAGAACAGAATATGCAGTAGAATATCAAAGGCTTTAACTACTCAGTGCCCTGTACTGTATTTCTAGCCTAAGAGCTGCAGCTGGAGTGCCAGCAGAAAACTACACAGAACTGCTTACCTGTGGAAGGCAGGGCCCTCAGTTCTGCTAGAAGTGGGATAAGCTCCTTAACAAGACTGCTGCTCCAGTTTCCTAGAGCTTCTATCCTGTGTGATAAATTGGGTAGGAAAGCAGTTTTTAAACTAAAGCTCTCAAGAGCTTTAAGAAAGCTTATGGAGACAAGCAGGACAGCCTTTTGGAGACCAGGAGCTTTGCCAGCTAGTCAGCCACCAGCAAGGTGAAATAACTAGCAATTAAGAGAAATGTTTGCTCACACTCAATTCAAACACCCCCTGTCAAAAGGGAGTAGGAGAGCCTCTTAATTCATCCAAAGTCAACACATTTTGCTGTTTAACAGACCTTTAATATCAGTAATGTGGGAAGTGACATCTCAGTGCACAATAGCACAGAGACTACAGTTTTGGAGGTTCTCCCATTTCAGACACAGAAAAGAAACATGAGGAAGAACATGCAATGAAACAATGATCAGTTCTAGATACATCATGAGGTTTGGTCCAAAGAAAACCATTGAAACAATTAATCCAATTACTGCAAACATAGCTTCTCTGAGTAAGGTTAAGATATTGCATTTGTAGTGTTTCCATTGTGCTTTCCTTCAGCGAACCAGCGGAGCCTGCTTGAGTGAGATGAGGACTGAACGCATGCGGGACACATCTTTTGCCTGCTTACTAGACTTGGGATTAAAGTCACAGAGCTGAGCCACACGTTCCCACTCAGTGCCTGGAAAAATGTCTTCTGCATCATTCACAAAGGCTTCTTCAGCTGCCCTAAAAGCAATGCAATGCACCTTGTGTTAATGCCCAACATATAAGGCACTCCTTCCCTCTTACAGGATGCAGTTTCTTTCAGCGTGTTTCATAAGAAATGTGACCTGACAGCTGCTTGTGAGCTATTGAGCTTGTAAGCTATTATGGCTACTTAAGCTCCCACTGCCCCGACCCTAGAGATGAAAGTAGGTTGCAGTAGTACGCTATGCACAAGCAGTGCAGAGGATTGCTATGTAAAATGTTGGAATACAGGTGTCTGATTTTAAGAGTAGTTATTGAGTCTTTGCCTAAGGAGTCACCACACAAACTACAATAAAGCAAGGTACTCCTATGCAGGCATTTTATTTATGGAGAAATGCCCAAGTCTTAACTAGTTAAGCCTCTGCCACTTGATGGCTGATACTGGACACTTGCCAACTGGAAATTTACAACTCCCTGCAAGCACATCTTAAAACAGATTCCATTGGAGGATTTAAATCAGCCCCAAGGCCTACAGGCCATCATAAAACTATCTGCTGATGATTCCCAATGCTGTAGTGAAGCAGCATGAATCAAAAGGAGTTTAAGTCACAAATCGCATGCTTGTGGGTGCTATAGACTAAAGCATAACTTGGCAGAGAGGATGACTCGTATGAGGTTAGCTCACAGGATAAAGACATTTACCTTGTTCTCACCCTAAGGAGACTCTAAGGAGGCTTTTTACATTATGTACAGGTTAGTGCCAGTAGCTTCCCAGCTGTATCCTTTTGGCATTGCTATGCCGCCAACAGCATTGCTTCAATGCATGGATAACACTCCATGCATCTAGTTTACATGAACTGTGGGGCCCTGGTAGCTGCCTAAGTGCAAGAGCAGTAAGCATCACAAGATCAAACCAAATCCATCTACTCCAACAAGCAGTACAGAAAAAGCAGTGAAGATGACTCTCCCATGAGGGTTCAGCACTGTTCACAGGGATGATAAGGTTACAGACACCACTGAAGACAAGGGTCACTACAACACTGCTACTTTATGTGACATGACACTTTTAAGGGGCAGTGAAGATTTTTTTACTTAACTGTTCTAGGCTGTAGCAAGGATGATTTATGTTTGTGCTTAAAGGTGAAGAGAAGAAAAGAAACAAGGAGAGAAAGTTTAAGTCAGATATAGAAAATGAGAATGAGTTTAATGCAGATGATCAGCTGGTTGAACATGCACTAGTAGCTTAGCCTACATTCAGGAAACAGGCTGCGATTTTATTCTGCAGCACTTACACTGCACATTTGCATTGGATATATGAAAATAAGGGTTTTATTGGAAAAATCTATCAAAATCAACTCCAGGAGACTTCACAAAAGTCAAACACCACCTGTAAATCCATCATTTCACAAGTCTTGGTTTACATCCACCTACAGTTAGGTAATGAATTCCACACTGGACCTTCAATATTAATGCACTCAAAGCCACACCATGGCTCACCAATACACCTTCTAAAGGTGTCACCTTAGAATCTGTGATATGGCCATCTTTCAATTCAAGTCTACAAATTAAGGGAAGAAATTAACACACATTAAGTCAATGAACATTGCAATCCTTCCACCCCATGGAAACTAGCATACTCATTGGGTCTTGAAAGTCATGGCTGTATTCTCATTGATCCATTAGGCTGGCAAGATCTCTGCACAGACCTGCTCCTAAATATTCTCCCAGCAGCCAATGCTGATTTTCCAATACCACTTTCTTGTTCTTTTCATCTGTTCTCTAACAGCATCCTAATTCTATATGCATGCACCTCTTCTACCCTGATTTATAACAGATGATTCCTTTCCACCTTCCTTGGCTTGCAGAGCTTTATGTGCAAGCATTGCTTGAATATTTTTCTGATTATGTAGGCAAATGAGCACAGATCAGGAGCTCAATGCCTGTTACAGAGAATGCAGAGTTAAACATTGTGCTTTTCTGTGGAAGTGACTAGGACTAAATACAGCACCCATGTGAGACTGCGGACACTAACCCACATACACAGCTAAGCATCTTGCTAAGCAGTGTTCACTGGCCTGGACACAACTGTAAACTCCTACATCTAAAGACTACTAAAGTCATTACTAAAATTCCAGTGGTATGTATACTACATGACTTAATCTGAAAGTGCTGCATGTTGTGCAGTGTATGGGGGAAAACTGCACTTAACACTGTAGATCAGAGTCAGTCCAAAAAGTAAAGGCTATTTACTTATATTAGCTTATACTGCCCTGAAATATTCAGAAGTCACCTTCAGACATTCTGCACTATTTCTGATCCTCCTCATTACCTAGGTGACTAGCAAACAGAATTAGTAGTTAAGCAACATACACATAACCAATCACGTCAGCGAAGGGTTGTTTGTAGAAAGCTTCATCTGCCACCCTAGGTAGCAGGTAGTCCAACAGGCAGGCAAGCAGGCAGGAGAAAAGAGATAAGGATGAGAAATACAGAACACAGCTGAAGGCAGTTTTAACAGGCACATTAACCTTGTATCACCTAGGCTTACTGTAACAGGAAAGCAGCTACCATGTGGAATATATCAGTTAAGCCACTGACTCAGAGGGGCAACACAAAAGCTCTGCTACATCCTAGAAGCTGGGACCAGCTAGTTTAGGACTAGAGTCCCAGGATTAGGATTAGCATTAGCAGTTTCTGTCCACTGGAAGTGGACAGAAACTACCATTAAGAGAGGTACCTCACCAGGCTGATGAGACTGCCCAACACTCCTGTGCAACACTTGTTAAATGGACCCTACTCCAGAATGCATACCCTGCACTCAGACACTGGCCACAATAAAGTTATGGGAATATCATGAGCCCTGGCCACCAACTAGAAGAGTGCCAATCCTTCCCTTTCTTGGCCCAACCAAAAGACTGTACCTCAGCCAATGGAAGTGTCAAATCCATAATTCTGTAGGAAGTGTAGGCCTCCTTTCCTCCTTTAGTAAGAAGTAGAGTCTACCTAAGACTCTACTTTATTCAAGACAAATCTGGTGGCCATTTTGATAAGAAAAATGGTGTTTCAAAAAAAACAGTTCATCTTGATGTCTGGGGGTTCCCAAAGTATAAAGCAGCCCTGATGACTACCTGGACAGAATGACACTGGCAACCCTAAGTCAGAAGTAGAGATCTAAGTGGTATTAAGTCAGTACTATGATATTTACCTTTACACAGCTTGAAGTCAAAATTCCACAGGGAACCTCTAAGAAAGTGTAAGACCTTACTAGACTAGCAGCCATGTCATTAGTTTCTGCCCCAGGGCCCATAATTATACAATTCAACCCCAACACAGACACAGTCAGCATTTAGTTCTTCACTAGCAGAACTGAGTCAGGTTATTTCTCAAACACTTCCAAAAGGAGCAGCCAAAGGTTTTAAGGTATCTCATGAAATAACTTGTAGCAAAGACTAACTAGAAGGCCACTTCCATGTGTTCTAAAGATAGCAAGTAAGATTGCTAGTCTCAAGGTAGGTAATTACAGCCACTGAAGACCTGTGCAGCTAGTAGCATGCAAACAAGTGGATAGACTAAAACTTTTTCTGGCCACATTCAAACTTTGTGTCTTAAGGAATCTTCAGTAGTTCTGGTTCATTACTGCAATGCTTTCTCTTGCTATTCTTGGACATTTAATCTAGATTCTAAGAAACTTAGAAAGATAGTCTACCACTGGAGACCCATTTCTTTGTAGGAGAGATTACTTTAACGATCTGAAGGACTAGTGCCTTAGGACATACTAGAAGTATTCCAACCTCTCTCCCCCATTACTTTCATATTCAGTACCATAACTCTTCAGATTCCTGGAGCTGGAGAATCCTTACCTGTTGCTTGCTTTTGTTTTCTGGAGCTTTTCATCTTGCCTTGCATACCACTCCTCCAACTCCTTTATTGCTTTCTCTTTCCATTCAGCTTCCTGCTTTCGTGAGTTTGCATCTGAAGATTTAAGAATTGATTTGTCAGTCATGTTTCGTTTGTTCAAGCTAGGTCTTGCTAACATTTCAGCTGACGGCTCTGGGTGCACTCTAGTGCAGACAGTTGCTTGATCTACTCAGGTAAGGGTTAAGAGATTTCCTGATTTAGGCCATGAGAACTCTAAATATCATGAACATTCAGAGGATTAGCTAAACAGAATGCCTGTGCTCCATAACTTGCACAGTCCACTTTAGTTTAGGACAGGCATTTGCAGACTAATTCAGATTCAGTAAGTTTGTTGGCCTGCAAACTGTTCAAAACCAGAAACAGTCACCTTGCTATGCTAGTGCTAGAACAAAGGCTCAGTAAAGCCTCTATGTGAGGGAGCCTGGCGCTCAGCATGCTTTTACACCCAACCTACAGCTCAGGACAAGCTCATCCACTGTAACTATCCCAGAAGAGGGTCAACAGGCTCAACTCTATCCAGAATCACATTGTACAGAAGGTTCTGTCCTAACAATTTCAAGCAAAGCCTCCTCTCTCATGTAAATAGAAAGCATACCAGTTTGTAGGCTCTTAGAAGCTGTCCACAGGTAGGTATCACTGCATTTGATAGCTGTATTTAGTTTAGTTACTAGTCCATTACCTAGCTATTAGATTAAGATCCGTGTGACAACAGATGGCCTCAGCCATTACAAAATGAGCAACCTTCATCCTTTGGAAAAAAAGTGCTCATGGCTGCAGTAGTTATCCACTCTTTTCTGCTGACAAAAGCTGTTCATTTTCTGTCAGCTTATTTGTAAGTAAAGGGCAGGCCATGTGAAAACCTTTAAAGTTCAGAGAGCCACGTGCTTGCTGACTGCTACACCAGTATTGTCTGCTTACTGGAAGACTCATCCAGACTTGCTGCTCAAACTCAAACATGTTAGATTCCCAAGAGCCAGAAATCATGGTTGAGAATTCTGCTGCTTAAGAAGCTGCCACTAAGTTACTCACAAGCAAGAACACTAGCAACAAACACCCTCCTTACCAAGTTGCTCCAGGCGCTCCTTTTGCTCCTCTCTCCACTTACGAATACTCTCCGGTTCTGACTGCAGTCGATCTACTTGGGATATGGCAGCATAGGAGTCTGTTGGACCATTACTCTCCTTAAAGGGAAGGAATAGTAATGGCATTTATACATAGCAAATGAATATTTCAGATAAGTGCATGCAAACTACATAAAATTAGACTCTATTTGAACTGAGCACATAACACATTCATCTGATGTTATACCAGATTTCCACCATTAACATGAAAAACATCTTGCCACAAATTACAGCAGAATGGAAGCAAATTAATACAGGACTGCCTCTAGCAATTCAGGGATCAAACACAAATTCAAGTTGACTGGGAAGTCAAACTGTGCCAGAGCCTGAAGAAAGCAGAAGACAACACCTAGCACCTCACTACACAGTTCAAGGCCTAGAGATCCTCCAGTTAATTTCACCTTAAATAGTTGCTGTGAAAGTAATTTTTTTTTTACAGCTTTGTGCATAGAAGTTTAGAGCATTCTCTCTAACTTACTTTTCTACTTCAGAGACATTTTCAAACTTAACTGATATTAAAAGCCAATGTCCTTTAAAGACATTACAGAATTTGTATTGCTGTATGCAGCTTAGAAAAAGCATATTTTTTTACTACACAATAGCTCAAAGACTTGCAACGAATATGGCTATCTAATACACCAGATTCGCAAAGCTAATGAATATTGTGCTATTTGCCACAGAGGATGCTCCCAAGTCCAACAACTTTTATTGGTTCACCCTACTCTTAACAGACCTAAGAAATACCACTCCTGACAGTACCAGCTGGATTGCAGCTAATGACAGATTTGGCTTGATCTTGCTCCTCTTTGGACATCCTGTAGCCCTCAATGAAGAAATAAGGCAAAAAGAAGGAGCTAGGCTTGTGTAACAGCACCAGGCTTCACATTCAATCCAAAACAAAATAAATTGGCCAGTTGCAGGGCCAAACTAGTTACAGGTAGCTAAAACAAGAGTTACGTATAGTTTATATAGTCTGTTCTTCCTCATTAAGAGGAAGCTCTATCAACCAAAGCCACTGGTCACTTAGAATGGCAATCACAAAATCAAGGTATTTCATCTACATTCTGTTGTATAAGGAAGCACAAAGGGCCAGTAAGATAAAGTTTTCCCATCAGTCTCACAGCAGTGGTGCTTAATATAAAAACGTTAGCAGCAGTGAAAGCTGTTTGTGTCTCCACAAAGCTCAGTGTTCACTTAAAACTCTATGGAGAAGTAGCTCATATGCTGCCCCCTTCTCAAGGATTCATCCAACCAGGGCTATCCAGCCAACTCTGACACCAGGCGATGACAATGCCTTAGCCAAACCGGTGTGAAATTCAGTTAAAACGCAGTCATTGCTTTAGCATGCCTCATTCCTCCGTAACACTAATAAAGCAAGTATCTCCTCCTTTTGTCACTACCATGTTTTCATACTATGACTGAGCTATTCAGCCAGCAGCTTAATTTCATGCAACTTTATGTCACTAAGAAGTGCGTAACGTTTCCAGTCAGCTCCTTGTTAAGACCAATCTTGATAAGATAACCAGGACACATGACTTATCCTTAAAGAGCAAGCAATTCAGAAAAGTCTGCTTTAAAATAGCTAGTCAGAGCACGCTTTCAGCTTATTAGCCAGTGGCAAATCAGCATTAAGTCGTACTATAGAGCCTGTCAGTCTGCTTACAGTGGTTGTGTCTTATCACGCCATAATTCAAAATGGACTGCTGCTTTAAGTTGCCTCTAAGTTCAGAGGACAGGCATATTAAAAGCATTAACAGCTTTATGAGATGAACTATCAGAATAGAAGCTCCTCTTCAGAGGTGAGATAAAAGTACATTAGAGACAAGGAATGGTAAGTATTAGTCTAGATTAAGGTCAAGTTCTCAGAGCAGAATAGCACATTCTAAGTACAGAATACTTCTATCTTACCTGATAGACTTCTCCATTAACCACTCCATCAACAGCACCTGTAAAGAAGTGACTGTAGTTTAGCCATTTGAGAAAAGACAGAACAGCCAGATTTACTGATTTCAGGAACTTGTATGAGTTAATACACTTTACTAGAGTATCTAATGTGGGAGTTATGCAAATGAATTTTACTTGATACCCCGCAGGGTCACTTCCTTATCTCTGCACTTCTCCAGACACGCACAAGAAACCAAGTGAGCATTATTCTGCAGAACCAGTAATACAAGGTCATTTCTTCATTATGAGATCATGCTTCAGAGTCATAAACAGCAGAGCTGACACTGCTGAGAAGCTGCTACAGACAGTATTCTAAAGTTACTCCCATTTTCTCCTCCCTGTCTTAGAAGCTGACTACTAGACAACTGTTCAGAAGTTAAGAAGCATGACTCTCACTGTTTTAGTCTCTACCTGGAAGAGCAACAATCCTGCAGCCAACACTTAGTAATTCTTATCCTAGTTTGGTTACCTCTTAATTCCTAATCAGCTCAAAAGATATAGCTAGAATTCCTAGCAAAGTCACCATTCTGCTACCTTCTGTAATGACATGTTTGATAGCTTCCTACTTCAGCTGCAGCATTATTCCCTCTGAAGTGACACTGACAGCAGAGCCTCAGGAACAGGATCAGCTAGGAATATTTGCCACAGAACCCTAAAATTTCATCTTATTAAGACACAACCACAGGTAACACACCTCAGTTGAGACAAACAATTGAGTTTGTGAAACTATTTAAATCTCCAGACTATGCAAAACATTCCAAGATTTTCAAGAACTGCTAAATCTCAGCAAGGCATCTCTCTGCAACAGCGCTACGTAACATCTGCCTGCATGATATAAACAAGTCATGTTACTACCTTTGTCTCACCCATAATGCTACCATGGCTAAACTTATCACACAGAAGTGCTTCCACCATGTTAATACACTCTTCAACAAAAGAGACTATACCAAAGTCACACAATAGTAGGCAGAAAATCAAGGTATTTTACACCACCTTCGTAAATAAGATAGCTAATTACCCTAAAATGAAGAGCATTATGCTGCTGAATCTTCTGTTTCCGTGTGGCAATGTATGCCCCAGTTCCACACTAGTGTTAATGGCACACAGGAAGGTCTTCATACTCCTTTATCAGGGAACTAGGCAAGTATTATTAAGTCCTTATCCCTGAGGCCTGAATAGCAATGATTAACTGTATTAGGTAGAGGACTGTAAAGTCATCAGTTCCAATGTGGTAGTTAAGCTGGAAGATACTAAACTCCAAGCATATAGTTACTACCTTCAGTAGGGGAAGACTCAAGTTAATAAAACCTAGCTTTTCAGTTATGAGAACCTAGTATTTTATAACTAGACTCCTGTACCTGAAACATGGTAGCTACTTTGTCTGATTGCTACTCCTCTGCAAGTTACAGGAGCCAAAAAGAACTGGTTTGAGAGGCACATAAAGCTAACAGCATCTGCCTGCTTCACAGCAGCTACCCTGCGCATCACTTAATATCAAGCTGGAAGCTCCCTCAATGCAGACTTGTAGAGATCACTGCACATACGCTGACTTGGGCAGTTACAACTACTATTAACAGTTCTACTAAATGGGTTAATGAAGACTAAAGCCCACAAAGAAAACAGGCTTACACTTCACTCTCCTTCAATTTAAGCCCATCTGCACTTCATACGCATGCTGCAGCTGTTCACCTTGTTTTGACAGGGCTGGAATTAAAACCAAGCCAGGGTCTGTAACTCATATTGACATTAACAGCTTGAATAAGCCTGCTGCCCACTCTGCCTACCTTGGAAGAGCAGAGAGCAATTCACACATTCAGACAATCCCACTGGAGACACAAGCTTATTGCTACAACACCCAAGAGAGGCTACTAGCCTTTAAATGTGTGTAATTCTCATCTCCAGAAGGAAGGCTGTTGTTTCATGAGAGAGAGGCCTTGGGAAGCACTGACTCACCAGCTAGGTGAGAGGGCTAATAAGTCTTGAACAGTCTTCCGAGAACTGTGATAATACAATTAAGTTTTCTTGTAAAGTCTTCAGTACTCAGGCTGGTAGTCTGCTCAGGTAAAAGGAACAACATCATTGCTGAGGGCTGCGGCTGAGTTAGAACAGATGTGTTTGTCTTAGGGTCACTTTTCTTCTGGATAGAAACAGCTGCTAACTAGCACAGAGCTAAGCATTTCCAGAGGGCACCCAGGCCAGATGCATTAGAAGTATTAAAACAAAGTTCCCATCTGTTTTGAGCTCCCTAGAACTGGTAATTAAGATGCAGCGTCAGCATGCTGACTGAGCATACTGCAAGCAGAAGAGGAAACAGCACTTTACCAGCATGCTGTCATATGCCAATACAAGTATGCTCACTCAAACCAGATCAATAGTCAAACATTCTGTCATTTCAGCTGTCCAGTCCCAGTGTTTGTATAATCCAGTCTGAAGCCTAGAAAAACTATCTGCTTGCCAGACTTCATATCCATAATCAATGCTAGTTGTGTATCAGATTTCTTTGTCCACAGAAACATGTCATTTCATACCTGACTTTCCACAGAAAAAGCCTGAATACTGTTACTGCTATCATCAAGTTTTCAACGCCCATGAACAATGAGAGCTCTCTACTGGCTTTGAGAGTCCATCCAATTCTATCAAAGTATTGCATCTCAAAGCTCCTGAAGTCAACGTTGCACATTTAGATCTATTCTAGTTAGTAATGATCCATATTTCTTGGTGTATTCTTCTGAACTTAAGATAAAGCTTTATTTCTAAGGATACTGTTGTAAAGAACATGTCCAAACATCTACAGTTCTGTAACACATGCTCACAACAGGGTAATAATGAACTTCAACACAGTAACCCAGATAGTTTTTAGACTCTGGAAGGGTTCGGAGAGGATAAGCCGTATCAACTACCTTGCATTCACAGAAGACAAACAACAGCCAAGCTTGCCAGAAACAGACAGCTAGAAATCAGTGCCCTCCACTACAGTTTACAAAAGAAAGGGCTGGGTAGCTTGAAGATAAATACAACAGGTTTGCCACTTCGGTCCTACAAGTCAACATATAGCCATATGGCTTATCAGAGGCTTATCACAATGATGATCAACTACTTTGAAGGCAACTACGCGCATTAATACCAGAGTCAGTACTGCTTGGCATAAAAGGAAGTTTGTTCAGCCTTGTTCACTAGCCTCTCCAAAGTCTTATTCTCAGTGCAAAAGATGACAGCTATCAGAACAGTCAGAGGCAGGACTTTGCAGAAGTAGCTCTTCTAACACAAGTCCAACCATTTCCTAACTCATGGATTAGTTCCTCCTGAGGTCTTCCTATCCAGCTATGCTTTGGACAATATCCTCATGCAGGAGAAATGAACTTCAATGTAACCATACATAAAAGTATTTTTAATGAGATACTTTACTTTCAGCATTTCTTTTAAACAATAAGTACTCTACTTCTTCATTGCTACTTTGAGTGAACTAGTAGCTATAGTTAAAACAACAGAAGAACATAACCAAGTATAATATATTGTGGCATAAGGTTAAGTAACATCACCACTCAAGGCCTAGCTTCCCATCCTTTTTTTTGGGGCATAGATCATGTTTCCCCCTTCACCTACCTCTCACCCATAAAAGGATGAGAAAGAAGAATCTTCTCTGAAGCTTTTGTTCAGATAGTTATGCAAGAAACTGAGGAAGACATAGTTTTTCTAGCCATAACTCATTCTCATGCCTGTGTGCAAAACAAAGGCAAGCCGGTCAGGAAAAGCGCTTCTTTTCTGTGTTTTAGTTCTAACCTGCTGTCATACCAAAACCCATTAGAGTTCCCTTATTTTCAGTATAATCAATAGGCTAGTACTAGACCACACCTTCCTCTATCTGCAATAATGCTGTGCCATAAGAGCTTCTGTAACTTCCCAATAGATGTAGTATTCTCTTGGAAACAGAAGAACAGGTTTTTCTGCCATGAGCTTCATAATAATGCAGTATCACCACGAGACAGCAATACAAGTCAAACAGATACCATCCCTTTATTATCCCTTTCTCAGTGCTACCTTATGCCTCTGAAGCCTCAAGATACTGATTGCAGAGCAAAACCCAGAACCAATGGCTGTTCAAACAATTAAGAAAAAAAAAATACCAAGTCACAAACTTTGTCTGTGGTGCTAACTAGGAAGACAGGAGGAAACAATTCTTTCCTAATCATATTTTCAAGCAAATTGATATTCAGTCCCTAAAAGGCTATTAAATGTGGTTTATGGACAAACCACCAAATGCAATTCAGTTTCTTAATTCCTAGAGAGGCTCATGAGCCTCTTCAGAAGATGGAGAAACATCATTAATTCAAGTTCATATAAAAATGACAGAGCTTGAAACTGAAGGCAATGTTTGAGTCTAGTCAGCCTACATTAAATTTGTATGTATTTCCAGGACTGTTAATGTATAAAACTGCTTGTCTTTGAATGTAATTCTCCATAAGAAGCTACTTGACAAGCTGTCACAAGGTTTTTATATTGACATACAGGTTCTAGAAGCCACACACTTCAACCTGAACACACTCTCTCCTGCTCAGAGTACACAGCAAGTGAACTGCTATAACCTGAAGACCTAGTATTGTCAGACTGGAGAGAATTGAAGAATTTGACTGTAAATAAACACAGACATTGATTTATCACTGAAAAGGAGATCTCATAAAAGACCAAGTTACTAGTAAATAGGCAACAGCACTGTATTACTTGACTTACGCAGTACTTCCTGTTTTCTGAAGCAGTGATAATGCTTCATCTTTCAAGGGAAATAAGATTAGTTTTCACATGTCCAGGAAACTTGAACAGGATAGCTATTTACAAAATAAATGGCCTACTGGTTCAGACCAGTATTCCAACCCTGACCATGGCAATATGAAGTGATGCTGAATGAGACACATGAGCTTGGCAACATTCCGCCATTCCCCCCATACTCACCCAGCACCCACCATTACTACAATTAACAGAAATACACACTAATAATTTCCTGATA